CTTCACGCATAACTACATTCATCGGGAAAAAACGACATCAACGTACGAGAATAGCGGCGACGACTGACACACCCTATTACGGATGCTCGTGAAAAATTGACCGCGCGTGAATGCGGGGCTTAAATGGGACGCGCGCGAAAGTAACACACAGTGTATTCCTGTTCATGGCCAGCAGAACACAAAGACTTAGGGATGAGGATAAAAAGACACACTATCTGCAAAGCATCATTAGTTTCTCTGTTGACTCAGAACATAGGCCTCATTCTGTGAGAGAGGGGATGATTGTTGCCATCCTCCTATCTTCATCTTCCCCTCCCTCTCTCCCTCTTCTCTTCCTCACACATCTCCTGACTGCCTGGGACAGCAATACCACACCCACTGGTAGGAATACTAGTAGAGTGATTGTGAACGTAATGGCCACAGCACCTCCAGTTGATATAGTTCCACTACTGGCTTGTTCAGCTGTGCATTAGTGGATGGTTTGCAATGAACTGTGAAATAGGCGTGGAAAGTTTAGTTGAAGATAATCATTACTCGCCATATTGTAGGACAGAGAGAGTTTGAATGTTCTCTGATCTCATTCAATGGTTTCACAGCATTACTGACCTGACTCTGTCTCCATTACAGAGAGAGTGAATGACCCCTATTTTACTACATAAGCATCACACAATTATAGCTCTCTACTTATCAATTCAAGTTTTATAGCAAAATGTTTGCTCATTGAGAGTTCTCAAAATACTCATTTATCAAGGCCTCAATCTCGGCCTCGATATGAGTGCGGTAGTCAGCATTCCTGTCAGGTTCACATCCCTCCAGTTCAGTCGGCTCGTACTGGTACACTGAATCCAGGGCTGTATGTAGGATTATTGACTCTTCTATCTGTTATGAAAGTACGTAGCTATAGCTACTCACGTATACATTCCTCTGTGATAAAAGAGTAGAAATATCCAGTGAAAGTTGGACATACCACACCTAAATATTACAAGTGGAAAAATATGAAATGAAGGGATGTAGGGATGACATGTGATTAAAAAGAAGGGTACAAGAAGATGCCTACACCAACACAGATAGCTGGTCATTCATAATCCCATCCCTACAGCTTGCTTTCCTCAGAAATGTTTTGCTAGTCATGAATGCATCAGGCAACGAAAAGAGCACAAAAACCTCTTAACATCTGCATGTGTACATACACGAACTGAAAGAAACAAAGATGTAGGGATGGGGTTACGAATGACTAGCTATCTGTCTTTGTGTATATAGGCATCTTCTTGTGCCCTTCCTTCACGAAAAGTCACGAATGTATAACATTCAATGAAGTGACATCTCAAAGTTAACTGTTTGTGACTTATGAACTAACAACCAGAGTTTGGGGACAGCAAAAATCTTTCAGTAGAAATTCACTAATCACATGTGCAAGCTAAAATTTGTTGGATACATAGTGTGTAGTAGTCAACGTTTGTTCCTGATGGCCATATGCCTTGTTCTCAGAAAGAGGAATGACAGGCAGGCAGATCTAGTAAGTAGGACTAATGGCAATGATTGTTTTTAGCTTGGTGCATAGCTAACTATCAGAGCGTCGGTAGACGCTCTATGTAGGGATGACACGAGTGAAATCTCACGTGATCCGCATACAAAACGCCTCGAAACTCAGCGAGAATGGCTAGCTATGCCTTCAAAACACACCACAAATCACTCACGGGTCCATATCTACCTATACATATGCCCAAAAGTTTCATACGTCCCTGCAATTCTCGACACGAGAATCCGCTCATACGCGATTTCTGATTTTCGTGTCATCATATTCTTCATCTTCTTCTTCTTCTTTAAACCCGCTATCTCCTTACCAGTACCAGTTGAAGCGCTGATTTTTTCACTGAACGTCTCCAATTTCGCCGGAGGTGTGCACGGACATCAAGCGATCATTTCTTTCTTGCCGCAAGTCACTACGGTAGATCATGGAGCTCTTCCATGGTCGACACTGAACAACGCCATATTTGCTGCTAACTCAGCATCAGTGAGCCGTGCGCATGCGCCAGACAGGGGCGCGGCGTTAGAGCGGACCACGTGGTCCCCGTCGTGCGGCCGTTGGTTTTTCAGCGGGTTTGCTCCCGAAGTTCGGCCTAGCTATCCGTCTTTTGGTAAGGAGCTACTGTTGTGTGTACTTTAGCTAGCTGCAATCCAGCTCATTGCCAATTTTCTTTCGAGGTTCCACGGGACGGCCACAACCTGACGTTGTCACCTTCACGTGACACTCCGTGTCTGTCTTGTCCGCACTGCTGACTATTGTGCTGGAGTCGCCACGGTCAAAAGTAAGTCTTGCTATTGCAATTATCATCACGTATAATTTACTCCAAGGTCTGCAGCTTGGGTTTCTGGAGTTTGGGCCACAGTTAATTATGTTTCAAGGTAACCCCTGCAAAGTTGTCTGCATTCCCTCATTGCCTATTTTAATAGGGGTGCCTGACGACTCTCCTTCCAGTTCAACCTTCTGCACCCCCTCGGCCTCTAGCCAGCACTTCTCTGCTGACAGTCGTGGCTGATAACAAGAACCCACCCTGTTCTTTCAGTCGCAAGGCCCTCCACTGCGCTCTACCACTGCCACCTGGGCTTCTCCATCCTTTGAGATAAGTTCAAGTTTTTGCGTTATCGCTCGAAAAGAAGGAGGGCAGTAGATATTATGTGCATAATTCTGAGAATATAAAGGCTAGAGGTAGATCCCTTTGTCGGTCAGACCCTGGTAAGGTAAAGGCAGTGGCTAGGGCCACCTATCATGCTGACCCTGGTAAGGAAAGGCAGCTGTGAGCCCATTTAAGAAAAATATTGCTGCACTATAGAGGTAATGCAGACAGTGGGAAGGATAACCAGCCATTGTAGCCTAGTTTTGCTGATTTTCAAAGGCACCAGCTAGTAGTATTCCCAGTACCCAAGCAGCCAGCACATCAATACACATATCCCAAGGATGTGTGGTTGCCTTTAATTGAGTCAATATGAGTCTTCACTGGCTGGGTAGCCACAGTTTACACAACGATCTAATGAGCAAACAATGCCCAGTGACCTTTCTTGGTAAGCTGTAGATGGCTGTGGCTACATCCCAAGCTGGCACGCAAGGGAAAAGTGGCGAGCCAGTAAGCGAGAAGATGCGCACGCAAGCCAGAAAAAGGCGAGAGCTGGAGCGAGAGGGCTGTGTGCCGTGCGTCACTTGTGTCGTTTTGAACACGCTGTTCAAAAATGTCAGCTTAGCTGCACCATAGCTGAGCTGTAGCGTACGTGGTATACGAAGGAGACTCCAAAGAACGTCATTCCAGGTCTGCACGGCGTCTTGTCTTCTCTGCTTGGTCCGCGCTACAGCAGCCCGCTACAATTGCACGCTACACCGCTAGCTAAAGTAGTAATCGCTCGAACAAACGGTCAACAGGCAGCATGGGCTCACGCAAGCTTGCTCTCGGCCTCCTTTCCCTCGTCTCGCCCACCGATTTCTCTCACAACCCCGGTAAAATGATATGCTTGCTAGGCAATTAGTACGGTTGCTAGGCTACAAATTGGTTAACGCCTTGGTTACCTTCAGCGGTACTGGATATCCCCTCAGCTGTTTACTCTACCCCCCTGGGTGCTAGAGTAAACAGCTTCGGGATATCGCTTCAGAACCAGGCGTTAACCTATACTTATAAGATTATCTGGGAGTTGCTGGGCAGGTGGGGCTCTGAAGTGTTTTCCTACCCCTTATCACCACTGCTGACTTGTATATACATTCCTGCACCGTTATATATACCACTTCTGACCTAGCCTTTGTTGCACTACCAATTCCTATTGTAAGCCTACTCATACATTGTCTGTCTACTCCTCTGTATTATGCTTTGTGTTTCACTTGATGGTGCATACTATCTATATATTCTGTCTATATAGGGGTTGGACTGCAACTGCACTCTCAAGCTAGACCCTGAACCCTGCAAACTTCTGGCTCCTACTGCCTGCTTGCTACTAGCTATATACCCCTGATTTGGCCTCTATACCTTTCACTTCAGCTGGAATAGACCTCTCCTAAAGAAAAAAACTTTCCTTCACAATTCACAACAAAGCATATTGTACAATGAATGTTGGGTTAGTTTTGTACTTGCGCATGCGCCCACTAGTCTCTCATGCAAGAATCGTGCAAAATTGCAAACAACGTTACGGACATCGCCCCTGCCCCCACAATGCACTGCGAGTGTGTGTGAGATCAAATCTTCAAATCACACAAATCTGCAGTGCATAAATCTCCACGCACACGGGTGTGAACCCTGCTGCTCCTCGCTCGCCGCTCTGCACCGCTTAAAGGGTGGGGCTCAGTGTAGGCTAAAAATAAGTGGAACAAGTGGAAAAATCATTTCTTCAAAATGAAGGGGGATGTAGGGATGGCGTAAATTATGAAAAAGGATGCCAACAAGAAGATGCTTCAGCCGACAACAAAAATCATACATCCATCCCTACATCTTTCTTTAACTCACAACCTCAACTGTGTTTTGTATAATTATACCTACTCCCAATAACGAGTGCCTAGCTACACATTCTTAGACAGAGCAAAAGAAAGAAAGATGTAGGGATGGATGTATGATTTTTGTTGTCGGCTGAAGCATCTTCTTGTTGGCATCCTTTTTCATAATTTACGCCATCCCTACATCCCCCTTCATTTTGAAGAAATGATTTTTCCACTTGTATTATATACACACAGCACTCACATTGTACGACCACTGTCACAGTTGTGCTGGTAGAGTTGTCAAGGTTTGGAGGAGAGGTTCGACAGGTGTAGCTCCCAGCCTGAGACCTCATGATGTTGGGGATATTCAGTACTCCAGATGAAGACACCATCTGGCCATCTTTGTCGAACCACTGTGCAAGTGGTTCTCGGTTGGAGTTTGTGGTGTCACAGGAGAGGAACAGTGTGCCTCCCTCATTGACTGTAGTTGCTCCCGTGATTATAGGAGGTTGATACACTGTATAATACAATACCATTTGAACATAACACTTACACAAACATGGGAGACATACCGTCCAAGAAAACTGAAGCCTGTCTTACATCCCCTGAGCTACTACACCGCAAAATCAGGGCAGGAGATGCCTGGAACGTCATGCTAGTATCATCAATCACCAGAACTCCACCATCCAGGCTTGTGATTGGTGAGTTTCCAATTAGGAATGTGGTGGTTGGGTCAGTAACTACTTCTCCATTGACAACACATTCCACACAGACAGTTCCTAGTGGAATATCTATCTGGTTCGTTGTACCAACAATCTGCACCGTGGCTGTACAGTCATCCACACTCTGAGGGAGAGCTGAAAAAAGATCTCAATTTTATAGGTATAGCTACTACTTTGTGGGGTTCCGTGGTAGCTACCACACAAGGCACACTACACAACGTAGCACGCGCACAAAGGGGTGCAAGTTCATTTAACCCTCGGCGCGCATGCGCAGCGAGGGTTACCGTCTGTCCGACTGTTACCAGGTATTCTGCCACCACGCGCAACAAACAGGTAAAATAGCGACACCAACGAGTTCAGTGCTACACACTGGCTTGATTTAAAAAATGGCGATTATCGTAAAAGTGCCGCGTTCAGAAGTTATGGTGTGAAAACCAAGTTTACAAGCCAATATGCTAATTAGCACTAGCTTGCTCCGCGTATATACTCGGACAGTGCCTCCATTTTTCCGTGCCTTTTGCCCACACCTCTGCTTTCCCTATTTATATCCTGAAAAAGACGCACATCCTCAACAGCTATTTTCATTTTAGAAGAGTCACGAAACATTCATTGAAGTGACATCTCAAAGTTAACTGTTTGTGACTTATGAACTGACAACCAGAGTTTGGAGACAGCAAAAATCTTTTAGTAGAAAATCACTAATCAGCTAAAAAAGTTGTTGGATACATAGTGTGTAGTAGTCAACATTTGTTCCTGATGGCCATATGCCTTGTTCTCAGAGAGAGGAATGACAGGCAGGCAGATCTAGTAAGTAGGACTAATGGCAATGATTGTTTTTAGCTTGGTGCATAGCTAACTATATAGCTACACACGCACTCACATTGTACGACCGCTGTCACACTTGTACTGGTAGAGTTGTCAAGGTTTGGAGGAGAGGTTCGACAGGTGTAGCTCCCAGCCTGAGACCTCATGATGTTGGGGATATTCAGTACTCCAGATGAAGACACCATCTGGCCATCTTTGTCGAACCACTGTGCAAGTGGTTCTCGGTTGGAGTTTGTGGTGTCACAGGAGAGGAACAGTGTGCCTCCCTCATTGACTGTAGTTGCTCCCGTGATTATAGGAGGTTGATACACTGTATAATACAATACCATTTGAACATAACACTTACACAAACATGGGAGACATACCGTCCAAGAAAACTGAAGCCTGTCTTACATCCCCTGAGCTACTACACCGCAAAATCAGGGCAGGAGATGCCTGGAACGTCATGCTAGTATCATCAATCACCAGAACTCCACCATCCAGGCTTGTGATTGGTGAGTTTCCAATTAGGAATGTGGTGGTTGGGTCAGTAACTACTTCTCCATTGACAACACATTCCACACAGACAGTTCCTAGTGGAATATCTATCTGGTTCGTTGTACCAACAATCTGCACCGTGGCTGTACAGTCATCCACACTCTGAGAGAGAACTGAAAAAAGATCTCAATTTTATAGGTATAGCTACTACTTTGTGGGGTTCCGTGGTAGCTACCACACAAGGCACACTACACAACGTAGCACGCGCACAAAGGGGTGCAAGTTCATTTAACCCTCGGCGCGCATGCGCAGCGAGGGTTACCGTCTGTCCGACTGTTACCAGGTATTCTGCCACCACGCGCAACAAACAGGTAAAATAGCGACACCAACGAGTTCAGTGCTACACACTGGCTTGATTTAAAAAATGGCGATTATCGTAAAAGTGCCGCGTTCAGAAGTTATGGTGTGAAAACCAAGTTTACAAGCCAATATGCTAATTAGCACTAGCTTGCTCCGTGTATATACCTCGGACAGTGCCTCCATTTTTCAGTATTTTTACGGAAATCGCACTCCATATACGGGGGAAAAGCGAAAAAATACGGAAGACAGGAGTGCTCAAGAAGGCGTGGCAAGTATTACGACAAACGGGCAGGTATATACGGGTAAAGCCACGCAAAATACGGGGAAGATACGGATGACGTTAGAGTTAACTTGGAGGCTATGCTCGGAGGCACAAGAAGCCGCAACGAATGACGTGTATCGACTCCCGCATGCTATCTACTACTGTAGCTAGCCCGTGGCAGACTCACCGCGAGCTACTATATTATAGCGGGAGACCACGTTAATTAAACGCATACTAAATAGGCCCAGCACATCAATAGCGGAACCGCGCATGCGCAGTTCGCCGAGGGTTTGCACTCATTCCTAATGGAAGTAGTACAACTGTAATAGGCTTGAGGGTGCCTTTTGCCCACACCTCTGCTTTCCCTATTTATATCCTGAAAAACACGCACATCCTCAACAGCTATTTTCATTTTAGAAGAGTCACGAAACATGCAATGAAGTGACATCTCAAAGTTAACTGTTTGTGACTTATGAACTGACAACCAGAGTTTGGAGACAGCAAAAATCTTTTAGTAGAAAATCACTAATCAGCTAAAAAAGTTGTTGGATACATAGTGTGTAGTAGTCAACATTTGTTCCTGATGGCCATATGCCTTGTTCTCAGAGAGAGGAATGACAGGCAGGCAGATCTAGTAAGTAAAACTAATGGCAATGATTGTTTTTAGCTTGGTGTATAGCTAACTATATGCACTGTGACTCACATTGTACGACCACTGTCACAGTTGTGCTGGTAGAGTTGTCAAGGTTTGGAGGAGAGGTTCGACAGGTGTAGCTCCCAGCCTGAGACCTCATGATGTTGGGGATATTCAGTACTCCAGATGAAGACACCATCTGGCCATCTTTGTCGAACCACTGTGCAAGTGGTTCTCGGTTGGAGTTTGTGGTGTCACAGGAGAGGAACAGTGTGCCTCCCTCATTGACTGTAGTTGCTCCCGTGATTATAGGAGGTTGATACACTGTATAATACAATACCATTTGAACATAACACTTACACAAACATGGGAGACATACCGTCCAAGAAAACTGAAGCCTGTCCTACATCCGAGCCACTAAAACACTGCAAAGTCAGGGCAGGAGATGCCTGGAACGTCATGCTAGTATCATCAATCACCAGAACTCCACCATCCAGGCTTGTGATTGGTGAGTTTCCAATTAGGAATGAGGGTGCGGGGTCAGTAACTATACTTCTCCACCGACAACACACTCCACACAGACAGTTCCTAGTGGAATATCTATCTGGTTCGTTGTACCAACAATCTGCACCGTGGCTGTACAGTCATCCACACTCTGAGAGAAAACTGAAAAAAGATCTCAATTTTATAAGTATAGCTACTATCTACTTTGTGAGGTTCAGTGGCGCCTGAAAATCGAGGCTCGCGATTGTACGGAAGCCGACAGTTCGACCACCGCATCTCTCAACTCACCGCTGCTGAAAAGCGAGCATCCCGCAGCGAAGAATAGAAGTGGAAAACGCATTGTTAATTTTGTTTTCTTCATCCCCGTAGAAACAGAACCGAATATGGTGCCTAGCTGCGCGTCCGTATACGCGCAGGATTAATTAAACCCAGCAAAATTAATTATGACCACTATAGACTCATACGGTTTTTCGTTTTCTGCACGTCAAGGAAAATAACTAGTATCAGTGGGGATGGCTCCATTGTCTGAAGAGAAATGTGGGTGGGAACCTGCATGTGTTTTCTACTGTGATGACAGTCACCACTGTAGCTATATAGTGATACCCTTGGGAGAACCTTTTCTAGTGGAGTAGGAATGTGGGCGAGGCCCCTACCATTCACGAATGCTGAGTGTCAAAACTGTGTGTACTCACACTGCTCCATGAATCAATTGTTAGCATTTCATAATGGTTGCCCAACTAACCTTGTTAGGCATCTGATAGCTTCAAAATTGTTATAATAATTATACTGCTCTGTTATTCTTATTTTATAGCAACACGAGCTTATAACTAACACTTATGAGCAATATTCCTATATAGTTGGTCAAAAATTAAAAGCTAGTAGGCATGTTATAGTTATCAGAGTTTTTAGAGTTCATGATTTCTCAAGCTGCTCCATCCACAACTGGCAGGAGCGGAGGCTGGAGTGGGTGAGAAGTACAGATGAAACATATAATTATAGCTACACTATACGTATGTATGTATGTAAACTCACATATAACCACCTCAACGGAGGTGCTGGTAGCTAGGGTCTTCAGGGTTGGGAGGGGCAGTCACACAGGTGTAGGTCCCAGCCTGACACCTCACGATGCTGGCTATAGTCAGCTCGCCTACACTGGACAACACTCTGTTGAGTTGGCTGTTGCCTGACTGCTTAGTGCATCCTTGAAACAACTCTGCGGTATACACCTCCACTGCGCTGCTCAGCTCAGCAATGAAGTCTGCACACTGCCACACTGCGCATGCGCAAACTTGCACGTGCGGGGGTGCGTGCACCACAAAACAGAAAGTTTATCAGCCATAGAGCATGACTCTGCCCTGATATATTGAACTATTTTCATAACAAACTGTCCCTTTTGGAGCGGATTATTCTGTTGTGAAAAAATAGTTTCCATGTCTCAACAACTTGGTAAGATGTAGAAAGGCAAGGCAAGGCAAACAAGTCAACTACACCCAGGACAGCTCTTTTTTTTTCAAGAAGGGCTGTCCTGGGTGGGATTCGAACCCGAGTGCTCTACCAACTGAGCTACCAGGGCAACTCAGCTGGTAGGGGTTCAAATCTACAACACAACACAACACAACACAAGGCAAACCTCAAACAATTATCAGAGCGTCGGTACGTAGACGCTCTATAATTAACCCTCGGCGCGCATGCGCAGCGAGGGTTACAGTACTTGGGTCTGTCTGTCTGTCTGTGTGTCTGTCTGTGTGTCTGTCTGTTTGTCTGTTACTCTTCATCTCACTTCTCGAGTGTTCTTTCGTCCTCACAAAGGATACCACCTACTGAACGGGCAATGAAGGTCAGAAAATAAAGGGGGTTTCCCCTCAAACTGTCTCCGTTGCAAAGCACGAAGCGCGAAAAAGCCATGTGCAAATATACAACGGACGGGAGGGCTTACCAGTCGGATCGATCGCGTGCTCTGCGTACACGGAGGCACCAGAGATGCAACGCAGGGCGTGTATCGCCTCTCGCATGCCTATCTAGTAGTGTAGTTAGCCCGTGTCAGACTCTGCGCGAGCTGGCAAGAGACCACGAGTAACACTAAAACTAAACCCGCATCCCATCAATTAGTGGTACGGGCACACGCAAGGTGTACTACGCGTTCCGCGTCGTCACAGTGCGCCGAGGGTTTTGCACTTCAGTGCTTTTCATTGTCCCGTAAGTGTGTCTGTCAGTCTGTCTGTTAGTCTGTCTGTTACCACGTTTTCTGCTACCGCGCGCACGAAATCAGGTAATAGCGATATGATCGGGTTCAGTGCTACACTGGGTGTGATTTAAAAAAGGCGATTTTCGTAAAACTACTGTGTTTTAAAGTTTATGAGTGAAAACCAAGTGAACAAGCCAATATGTAAATTAGCACAGGCTTACCTCGACCGCGTCCGCTCGCTCTGTGTGTCTTGAAGGCACAACAAGTCACAACGAAGGGCATGTATCGACTCCCGCATGCTATTTACTACTGTAGCTAGCCCGCGCCAGACTCTCCGCGAGCTACTAGCGGGATACCGCAGGCATAAAAAGCCCAGCCCATTAATTAGTGGTACCGCACATGCGCAGTTCGCCGAGGGTTTGCACTTTAGTGCTTTTTATTATGTAGTAGGGAGGGATGACGCGTATGAAATCTCACGTGATCCGCGTACAAAACGCCTCGAAACTCGGCGAGAATGGCTGGCTATGCCTTCAAAACACACCAAAATCTCTCACGGGCCATATCTACTTCCTATACATATGCCCAGAAGTTTCATATGTCCCTGCAGATGACTCGACACGAGAATCGCTCTACGCGATTTCAGATTTTCGTGTCATCATAATCATTCTTCTTCTTCTTCTTTAAGAGAGGAGCATTATTACTTTGTAACCCAATGTCGTTACGGCGATAGAAACTCCCACTCGGGAAATATTATGCGCATGCGCACACATTGGCGGGTATTGGAGACTTTTATATATATGCAACTGAGAAAGTATCTGCTGATGTAATTGCATGGAAAGTGAAGGTTAGTCAGAGTAGCTGAATTTATACAGCAATCCAAACTAAATAAAACTCCACATGGTATGAAACCATTAATAGACAGCAACAAAGTGGTAGGTGTCCTTGCTTGTTATGCTACACAGTGCACCACTCCCTCTACTAACCTCTGAGTGGAGACCTGGCCATAATGCCTGGTTCGCAGAGAGAGGAATGGCAGTCGCCACTGAATGAACTGGCTCTCCTATATACGCTACGCGTACAAGCTTTTTCGTTTTCTCTTCTCTTCCTCGTTTCCTCTCTCTCTTTCTCCTCCTCTGCGCATTGCGAACCATGTCCCACAGGAACCAATGACCACACCCACAGGTATGAACACCAGTAAACAGATGGTCAGTGTTATAGCCACAGCAACTCCAGTTGATATGCTCTCCTTCTCTTCTCTAGTGTCAGTACAGTGCTTGTACAGGCATAGGCAGATCTAGTAAGTAGGACTAATGGCATGATTGTTGCTTGTATCTATAGCTACATACCACCTTCAATGTTTAGCTGGGGAACTGTAAAACACGTATTGTTGGCCATCTGCCAGAGGAAGAGTAGTGACATTATAGGCAGGATGACAGGGGTTCCAGGGAGGATGTTGGCTGTCACGTTCTGCTGAGGAAGACACGTCCCTCCACTGTTCTCTCTCTCACTCCAAACGACAGCCCCACTGTGTAGGGGACACTGCGACAGAGAGGGTTCAGACTGACTACGACTGCAGGCCCTCCAGCTGGACTCTCTCCCTCCTCTCACCTCCACTGGGGCAGCTATAGTAAGGAGACACCATTCATATCAAAACTCGTTCACAGTGTAAAGTTCTTTCTGAATTGCTAAACACACATTAAAGGCTGAAGCTCACATTAAAGATGATGGATACAGGTTGAGAAGACCCGATATCATTAGAGAGTGTGATAGAGATGTTGTAGTTGCTGCAGACATTGGTATGGTAGCAGTACAACTGGTGTAGGTGTTGAGAGAAAAGAGCATATGGTCCCTCCTGGAGTCAGGTCCACTGTTGCCATCTCCTCTCCTGGATACACCACCCCCACCTCCCTCTCTCCCTCCTAGAATAACATTGCCAAAATGTTGTGTACATGTGTAGCTACGCAATCAAGCAATCACCATACTGACCGTCCAATTGAGTACAACAGGTCTACCACCCACTCAGAGGAACATCGCAGTACATGACAAGAGACTGTACTGTAGGCTGTGGTGGAACTGAAATAAACACCAGCATTGTCATCATACCAATAAGTGCTTCGTATTATCTATCTATGAATTCCACAAACCTCTGGCCTCAATGAAGACAGTGGTGGTGGCAGGCTGACTGGAGAGACCACAGAGTTGATGGCAGTCACTGACACACTGTAGCTGGTGTTGAACTGTGGTACAGTAATGGTGGCAGTGAAGACATCTCCCACTATCATCATGGCTGACAGTCTGGGTCATCCCACCATCAACAGTCACTGTATATTCACTGATGGTCACTCCACTGCCTCCAGTCATGGCTGGAGACCCCCACTGCACCACTGCGATGTCTCAGTGTTGGTGATATCAACCTGACTCAGTCCTACTGGTGGACTGGTGGGTCTGCAGTGATGTTGATGTTCAATGGTGGGTCTTGTATCAATTGACATGCTATATGATATACTCTGTGGCTATTGGACATGAGCCT